GAACGACCCCGGCGAACTGCCGAAGTTAACTATCCAGAGGCTACCATTTGGCTTCATCCCGGCTGGTATCGATTTGGGATTCACCTTCGTGCATCCTTTTGTGACCTCCAAATAGCGAAATCAGATTTCGCAAAATAAATACACTAGCTTGACACATAGATGTAAAACCCTGCCTAGTTCACGGCCAGTGGACAAACACTACGCCCAATAGATGTAGTGGCAACACATGCTTTATGACACCATGTAGAAATGTCTCCTGGTAACTGGAAAACTATAGGTATAAAATTTGACTGCATGTAGATCGAGCTTGCATCTGCATGAATGCCAATATGTAAAATTGTAGCGGGGATGTATGTAACTAATCGAGCTTGCATCTGCATGAATGCCAATATGTAGAATTGTAGCGGGAATGTATGTAACTATGTATGTATGTATGTATGTATGTATGTATGTATGTATGTATGTATGTATGTATGTATGTATGTATGTATGTATTATGTATGTCGCCATGTATATTAGTGTGAATGAAGGAAAATTGCCGTCGTAATACCGTCATACGTGGCGCTTACGGCTGAAACAATGTACGTGCGGTTGTATGAGTATAGGCAACAGTATGCTGGCAGGCCAGCGGTGACCCGGACAGCAGTGACGGAGGACAAGCAAAGGGGCGAACGGGCCCGGAGCGCTAATGGTGTGCCGGACACCTCCGATGCGTCGTACCGCACTGGCGAGACCACCTCCGTCCAAACCCTCGAGTCGTCCGCGGTGCCGGGAGGTGGCAAGTACGACGGCAATCACATGAACGTCCACGGCGGCAAGCACGGCGGCGATCAGACGAACAACCACGGTGAACCGACCCCGCGGAACCGGCCGATCATCCGGTCACCGACGGCTGAGACATCCCGAGGCGCGACCCACCAGACTCCATGGCCAACTGTTCAGCCCGTGGGCCGACCAGACCGCCACCTGGATGGTACCCATCCGACTGACGGCAATCACCAAGCGACGGGCACCAGATAACGCCCCGAGCCCAAGCAAACGAGCCGACGGCTCCACGCCCGCCCCAGGGGCCCCGAAATCGCAACAGGACTCAGCTACAGCGCCACAGGCCCCAGCTGCTGCTCCCGAATGCACAAGCGGATGCCGTGCGGAAAGACAAGGCAAAGCTGCAGAACGTGATGACGCTGCGAACGCTGCTGCTGCTGTGGCGGCAACGAGGCCACCACGGACGCTGCCGTGTGTCCACCTCAGCAACTACGGCAGCACCATCCTGGAAACGACACGCCGAGCTATACTGCCATCTGGTGAGCCCGGGTGACGGTCAGGACCACCACCTGTATCGCATGCGACCACTTGGCAACCGACAATAGCAACGAGTACCACCATGTGGAGTCCCAAAGCGGCCGAGCCAAAGCCGAAGTCGCATCCTGAGCTGCTGTACCGCAAGCCAAGCTGCCGCAGCGAACCGCAAATGGAAACGCTGCGGAAGCTGATGCCGCGCGGAAAGAGAGCACATGCTGCAGGACACGATGACGCTGCAGAAACGGATGCTACGCAAAAGGGCCGAGGCGGCTGCGTAGGCGGACGCCACTGCAGAGCAAGATGTTGCCGAGGCGCCGCACTACAATGCTTTTGATCACTGGTGCGCCGCGCAAATCGTCGCCGGGGAGGCGCGCGCGCCCGACATACCGTGGAGGCTGGTGCGCCGTCCCATCGTCACCGAGGAGGCGCGCGCACCCGTCCATGCCGTGAAGGCTGGTGCGTCGCGAACATCGTCGCCGTGGAGGCGCGCGCACCCAACATGCCGTGGAGGCTGGTGCGCCGCGCACATCGTAGCCGTGGAGGCGCGCGCACCCACCAAAGCCGTGGAGGCTGGTGCGCCGCGCACATCGTAGCCGTGGAGGCGCGCGTACCCACCAATGCCGTGGAGGCTGGTGCGCCATCGTAGCCGTGGAGGCGCGCGCACCCACCAATGCCGTGGAGGCTGGTGCGCCGCGCACATCGTCGCCGTGGGGGCGCGCGCACCCAACATGCCGTGGTGGCTGGTGCGCCGCGCACATCGTCGCCGTGGAGGCGCGCGTACCCACCAATGCCGTGGAGGCTGGTGCGCCATCGTCGCCGTGGAGGCGCGCGCACCCACCATGCCGTGGAGGCTGGTGCGCCGCGCACATCGTAGCCGTGGAGGCGCGCGCACCCACCAATGCCGTGGAGGCTGGTGCGCCGCGCACATCGTAGCCGTGGAGGCGCGCGCACCCACCAATGCCGTGGAGGCTGGTGCGCCGCGCACATCGTCGCCGTGGAGGCGCGCGCACCCCACATGCCGTGGAGGCTGGTGCGCCGCGAACATCGTCGCCGTGGAGGCGCGCGCACCCAACATGCCGTGGAGGCTGGTGCGCCGCGCACATCGTTGCCGTGGAGGCGCGCGCACCCACCAATGCCGTGGAGGCTGGTGCGCCGCGCACATCGTCGCCGTGGGGGCGCGCGCACCCAACATGCCGTGGTGGCTGGTGCGCCGCGCACATCGTCGCCGTGGAGGCGCGCGTACCCACCAATGCCGTGGAGGCTGGTGCGCCATCGTCGCCGTGGAGGCGCGCGCACCCACCATGCCGTGGAGGCTGGTGCGCCGCGCACATCGTAGCCGTGGAGGCGCGCGCACCCACCAATGCCGTGGAGGCTGGTGCGCCGCGCACATCGTCGCTGTGGAGGCGCGCGCACCCAACATGCCGTGGAGGCTGGTGCGCCGCGCACATCGTAGCCGTGGAGGCGCGCGTACCCACCAATGCCGTGGAGGCTGGTGCGCCATCGTAGCCGTGGAGGCGCGCGCACCCACCGATGCCGTGGAGGCTGGTGCGCCGCGCACATCGTCGCCGTGGGGGCGCGCGCACCCAACATGCCGTGGTGGCTGGTGCGCCGCGCACATCGTCGCCGTGGAGGCGCGCGTACCCACCAATGCCGTGGAGGCTGGTGCGCCATCGTCGCCGTGGAGGCGCGCGCACCCAACATGCCGTGGAGGCTGGTGCGCCGCGCACATCGTAGCCGTGGAGGCGCGCGCACCCACCAATGCCGTGGAGGCTGGTGCGCCGCGCACATCGTCGCCGTGAAGGCGCGCGCACCCAACATGCCGTGGAGGCTGGTGCGCCGCGAACATCGTCGCCGTGAAGGCGCGCGCACCCGCCAATGCCGTGGAGGCTGGTGCGCCGCGCCCATCGTCGCCGTGAAGGCCGCAAATCGTCGCCGTGGAGGCTGGTGCGCCGCGCACATCGTCGCCGTGGAGGCGCACACCCACCGAAGCCGTAAAGGCTGGTGCGCCGCGCACATCGTCGCCGTAGAGGCGCGCGCACCCACCAATGCCGTGGAGGCTGGTGCGCCGCGAATGTCGTCGCCGTGGAGGCGCGCGCACCCGACATGCCGTGGAGGCTGGTGCGCCGCGCACATCGTCGCCGAAGAGGACACCGTCGCGCCAGTGTTGCAGGACATAATGAGGCTGCAAAAGCGAAATGCCGCGCGGGGATGCCGATGCTGCGGAAACGCCAAGATGCTGCAGTAGTGGACGCCGCTGCACGATGTTGAGGGACATGTGGACGAAGGAGAAGCTACGGAAGCAGACCGTCGCGGAGCCGTCGCCGAAGAAGAAAACGTCGCGGTGCCGTCGCGGCAGAGGAAGTCGTGACGCTAAAAAAAAAAAACAAACAAAAAAAAAACACACACACACACGACTGCCGAGCCGCCCCAAAGTAAGGGGATTTAACCCCAGGCCCAAAGAGGGGGGCATTTATGTAAGGTGTGTCGCGGTGTGTTTGTTAAGGTGTATCGCGGTATGTGCCTTTTGGTTTATAGCTAGAAATTCGTGTAGCGGTATGTTCTTTATGTTTTCGCTCGCCTTTTGACTCGCCTTTTGACATTTAGAAACACGTCGAGGTCAGCGTAGTCAGAACCGTAAGTCACTGTCGCCCGATCGATTTTAGCCTCAGACCGGGTGACAGGACTTATCCACCTTCGGGCGAGTATATAACCGCAGCGGGGAGTGAGAACGGGGTCAGTGCCTGTACGCTGACCAGGCTGCAACGCTGCACCCGACCTCATCCACGCTGCTGGTAAGCTGGCTCGAAGGTAGGTTCCGACTACGCAGGGATGCTGTGCGGGCTCAAGGCACATCCCATAGATAGGTAGGAGCAAGCGGGTGGAGGGTTAGGTTAGCATGCGTGGCGTTAGGGTATTGTTAGGGTAGATTGCGTTCGCGGTAGGAAATAGGCTTCACGTCAAATTAGCGCAGTCCGTTATGACCACATCACGAAATTATGAACAATAAATGGGGCGTTGAATTGACCAGATGCTTTTGGTAACGGGATGAGTCGGAGGAGAACGGTGATTGAGCGGAGTCTAACTTTATCGGTACATTAGTAAAGTCATCAATGGCCAGGAGCTTCACTCCTAAACCCATAAGGGCGCGCTACCAACCGCGGCGTGCCTCAAAATGGCGGAGTGATTCACACTGGTACCACGATGCATTGTAACTTAACGTAATATAGTAGAATTAGACATTGGGATGTTCGTGGCCCGAGTGGCAGTCGGGCACAGGCTGGGAGACGTCTCAGCCTAACACGGACATCAAGTAGAGTAGTAGTAATACAATCAGAGGGGAGGCTGCGAAAGGCCAAAAGGACCGGCTCGAGCCCCCCTACATAACTAGAAAAGCTGTAGGTTTGGCCATTTGAGTTTTAGCCAGTTTTTGCCAGTTCTTGCCACCAGGGTTTCTGCCAGCCGGTTTAAACCGGTTAAAACCACTGGCAAAAACCAGTTTTTGCCACCCCCTGCCAACCCTGGTAACAATGGCTGCTTTTGAAGACTTAGCAACGGTCGCATTCACACGCGGGCTGCCCCCGCCTGTCGCAGTGGGCTAAGCCAATTTGTCTGGACGAGAGCACGATTGAAAATCGCATATGTCGGGCACGTCTGATCTGGTTTCCGAATGTCACATCGTCTCGCTGATCTCATTCCAGGAGAACGTATTGCTCAAGTCGCGAGGCTCGTCCAACATAAAGATCATCGACTTCGGCAGCTCGTGCTATACCCACCAGCGGGTGTACACGTACATCCAGTCGCGGTTCTACCGGTCACCAGAGGTCATCCTGGGTCTGCCCTATGGGACGCCCATCGACATGTGGAGCCTCGGTACGGTTCGTCGATGGATATTGGACGATAGATTATAGCATCAACAAAAATAGCCGACCTTTAGATATTCCGTTGGGGCAGAGTTGATGGACACATGATCGACTTTCATTGATTTCTTGGTATTCTTGGATAGTCAAGGACATGATATGCTTTTTTGGTTGTTGATGCAATTCGTGTCCATGTTTCTATTCATTATTTATGCTGCTCATCTCTTTGGTTATAAGATATTAAGCATCATACTATGCCCACCCCCTGACCTGACTCATGTTCAGCTAACCCATTCTAACCTGTGCTGAGACACTGGGACAGCTCACCGACCTGGCCCATCCATGTACCGTTAATCCACCCCCTTACTCCCACCCACACCCGCTTTAACCATCTCGTGACCTGCCCCTCCCGTATAGGTAACTACCTACAGCGCAGCACCTCGCCCTTATCGTCTCCTTACCCATGTGTCCTCTCCTCGCAGGCTGTATTCTAGCCGAACTGCACACTGGCCTGCCGCTGTTTCCCGGTGAAAACGAGGTGGAACAGCTGGCCTGCATCATGGAGGTGCTCGATCTGCCGCCCGAGGAACTCATCAGACACGCCTCGAGGCGACGGCTCTTCTTTGGTGAGTGAACCCCCATACAACAGTGCTGCACATTTTACAAAGCTAGAAATAACTAGGAATAGGTTTCGCAACATATCCATCCTGTGATATTGAGTAGAGCAGGTCCAGCCATAGGTACTTTGATAGTGTGCAGCTGTAGAGCATTTGGCCATCCTGTGACAATGTGCAAAGAGAGGGTCAGTCCCGCTTATAGTATTTAGCAGAGTCGGTCCATCCTGCTGAAATATTGGGTAGAGAGCGCTGGTCCTTTCCCGACTGATAATTAATGATGGAATCGACCCACACGTCTAGTCTGCCGAGACGTGCCCAAGATAATGTTGCCGGCGGTGAAGGACCGGGCGTCTTTTACGTCCGAACCCGAGACGCGTCCCATTAGTGGGCCTGATGTGGCTAATGGACTCTAATGATGCAACGCTCCAAGTCCCGAACACCGGCCGGGACCCGCCTGCTGTTGCGCTAACAGGTAACGGGGGCTCCTTTCATCTTGACAATGGTATGATTGTTACACAGCCTTTGCCATCCCGAACGTTGGTGCATGCATGCTAACATTGGCGTATCGTTTGTCCTGATCTGTAATCAGTCGGGATGGCTCCCGTATTACGCCCGCATAATTACACGATTTATGAGCTGCACAATTCACAGTTTCGAGTGCTGTCAGCTCGTACTACAGCGTGTAACCCTCTCTGTAGCATCATATACAGAAGTTGAGTCGGAGATGCAACGCTTTTCTCCGAGCTCAAGCCTCAACGTGATGTTTGAAACAGATACACAGGATCCATTGTTGACAGACTATTCAGTATTCACTAATCCTTATCTCCTCAACAAGTATATGTGCAGTACTTAGACCGTTGGAGAGGATGGAAGCAGCAGCGGGGATGGAAGCAGTAGCAACTTCCTCCGGATAAACCTGGTTTCCCTGCATCAGGTTGATGCCGAAACGAAATGAAAGTGATGGAAACGACATTAGCCAAAGACTTTAACAACGATGCATCGATGTTGCACCGTTTAACGAAATTACAAGCAACGGTTCTTTTCTTTATAAAGGCTTAAGTTGGTAGCGTATTTTGAATGCTCGTTTTTGCGTCACTCCACCCGCTTTGAGCCCATTGGAAATCCTGCTCAAAGCGATATTCGTCCCCAACCGTTGATCCGAGTCACGGATCCTCAAGACTTTATGTCGGTGCATCCTGCAGATGTTCCGGTGGTAATCAGCCACCATGCGGTGGCTAAGGCGTACAAAGCAGCATTACCTAAGTAAACGACATAATGTCAGCGTAATCGCCCTTATGGGAAAATTGCCCCCTTTATGCAATATATAATTCCTTTCCATCCTGAAGACCGCCAAGCCAAAATATAGGTTTTGCCTGCCTAGTAATAGACGGTTTGAGTTCGGCATTATTTTTCCTAGTCACTGTTAAATATGAAAATATCCATATTTTATTTTGGTCTTGGCTTCGTTCCATGCGCACCGATCGTGCTGGCTACAGCAGTTCCAGCAGGGCTTCTTGGCTGCAGTGCCATGACCGGGGCGACGGAGCGTAATTGATTGCCTCCGGTGGGGGGGGGGAGGGGGAATGTGGGAGGGGTGGAATAGAGGATAGAGGCGGAGACCGCCGCGCCGAGAGAAGAGCGCTGGTTGGATATGGATCAGTGGAGAAAATGGAAAGAGGGACGGAAGAGGGAGATATACAGAGAGAGAGAGAGAGAGAGAGAGAGAGAGAGAGAGAGGGAGAGGGAGAGAGAGAGAGAGGAAAAGGGAGAGGGAAAGGGAGAGGTAAAGGAAGAGAGAGAGAGAGAGAGAGAGAGAGAGAGAGAGAGAGAGAGAGAGAGAGAGAGAGAGAGAGAGAGAGAGAGAGAGAGAGAGAGAGAGAGAGAGAGAGAGAGAGAAAGAGAAGGGAGAGAGGGGACTGGAGAGAAGAATAGGGGTATGGAGGGAAAAGATAAGGAGCAGGTAGGTTGGTGAATGAGCGGGTGATAAGCATAAGTAAGTGCATGCGAGATCAGATATTGAGGAAGGAGAGCTACACATCCAGCCTGCCTGCTGCCATGGTCATCCACCCTGTTCACCCAGAGATGTTGCATTTGTCTGTCCGGCCACCACCGACCTCGTGTCCGTCCAAAGGTCACAGCCCACGGCCCATAGCTGGTATTGCCGCCTGCTGGCTAGTCACTCTCACTTCGACCGCATATCGACCGGCGGTGATCCGAACATTGCTTATCGAGCATCGGATAGCTGCGCGATCCACAGCGACGACCTGTGAACATTGAACGCGTCCTGCTTTGAAGAAGCATAAAACAGTGGATTCGGCTTAGGTGTTCAAGCAGTAGCGCTTGAACTAGTCAAGTGACAAGTCGAGATTCTCATAAATATCACACCCAGCACATTGTCCTCACTCTTCAGAATATTCGGTCGGTCGGCCGGTCATAAGATGGTCGTGATGCGTAAATATCCTCGTAACCGCAGGTTGCTTGAAAAAGACAAACGCTACAACTGTATTCGTTAACTGTATGTACAACACACACAACACAACACACAACACACGTTAACAACACAAATGTATTCGTTAGAATTGTGTTTTTCTATAGTTTCTACTGTAATCGTGGATAATAAGTCGGGAATCAAGCAATGAAAGACCCAGCACTCGACTCGCATCTGCTCCTCTCAGTCAAGGCACTGACGCTTAGACTGCGCCGCAGCGCATGTGTGTAATGCGGCACAGTCTACCACCTGCTATGCGTCTAGCACTACGCTGCAGTCTCCGGTGTCCGAACTCATGCAGGAGGAATGAACTGAACCGTGACGCTTGGGTCGTGCTGTACGATACGACGCATATGCTATCGAACGTTCGGAAGTCAACAGGAAACGCAAGCGTGAAAGCTCCATTGCCATTGGCTTCTTCACAGCGTTGGACCGTCTACGCCAACATAGACAGCCACTTATTCATCATGTGGACTGCAAAATACATCGATTGTATTTACACACCACTCCTTTCGCTGCATACTTATCAAAACAAGCAGACTTACAAAGTTTTCTAACTGACCCAGAGACGGACAAAACCTGTGTACCTATCCGGTTAATGCCAGTATGCTGTCCGAGTCTCGGTGTGTGTGTTGTGACACACTTATCAGCGCAAGTTGCGCAGTCTAATCTGAATACCGTCGACCGCCGTCGGCTCCGACTCTAAATGTCAAGGTCGGACCGTCAGGCCGTCCTTGCAGGTGTCTCTGCGTGTGACAGCGCCGCGCCGCTCCTTAGCTCGCCCGTAATCGGATTCTTGTCAGAAAGGACCGGTCGGTACGAGCTACGGCCGTGTCATGCCACTGTGAGCCGCTGAAATACAGGCCGACGACGCTGTTGGCTTGAAGAACGTACACGGACGGGCAAACGGACGTGCGGATGGAAGGTTGGACGGAACGACAGACGGGCGGACGGACAAACGTGCAGATCGACCGACGGATACACAAATAGACGGACAGACGGATGGACGGACGGATACACGGACAGACGAAAGGGACGGCAGTTATTTGGTTGATGCTATGTGTCAGTTGACTGAAGGCTGCAGTTCTGAGCGAACGATCGACAGCTGGCCTGACCGTCTTGGCTGCCGATTAGTGTCGTTATCACAAACCACTAGCCTGTCTGAGCGGGCAGCGGCCGGGATCTACTGCATTATTAACATCGGCTCAGTACCGCCCACTGCCGTACGACGCAGTTGTTCAGGGCGATGATTGGTCCAGCACAGTAACAGTGTCGGACAATTGTTAACCTCCCAATCTTCTACGCAATAAAAGTTTAACAGGTGAAGGAGTCTTTATCTCTGAGAGCATTGGGTACATTGTGTAGCGTGCGTGTCTTCCTTCCCAATGCCGACATTCTCAATAGTAAGGAGGATGTCATATCTGACCGGAATGCCCTGAAATAACAAAACAGAAACGGATGTCATACCTATCATATGAACTATGAAGGCTTCATATAGTTCATATCTGGACGGTCTCTGTCGGTCTCTTTATGTCTCATGTGTCATCGGTGAGCACAAAACTGTCTCTGTGAGTTCATCGCACCATCGCCACACCATGTCTAACCCCTCCCCCCCCGCAGACTCGCGTGGCACGCCCCGGACACTGACCAACACCAAGGGACGTCGACGCCGGCCCGGCACCAAGCCACTCGCCAACGCTCTGAAGACGGAAGACGCCCTCTTCGAGGACTTTGTCGAAAAGTGTCTCACGTAAGTAGCTCGGGGTGTATACTGTGATGGACGCTTATGTCCAATTATAAGTACAATGGTTTGGTGTGGCTTTTGAATAGCTGCTAAATCGGTTAGTGTTTCACGAGTAAAGTCAAAAATGGCCTTAGGACAGGGCACAAGCTAATTCAAACTATCTTTTACAACGTACTTTATAATCACATACTGCCGGAAGAAGCATTCTTATAAAGCAATGCATTTGAATTAAAATGTAGTGTTCCTTGTGGCCGTTAGTTGTTACCTATCGTTCTGTCGGCAGTCATCGTTCCCAATAAAAGACGTGTCCTTTCAACACGTTCAGTACTTAGGTATGTGGCAGAAGGAATCCTAGATCGGTCCATACGACCTCAGCGCTTTTATTCAATCATCTTTAGCTTCTGGCAAGGATACCAATATCCATGTTCATTGTTCAGCCTTCCATAATCTCCGTATCCGTGTCAGACATTTCTGGGACACACTTGGATAAACATTTAAATTCAGCTTCAGCCTTCATTTCACTACCCCGGTAAGTTACATGCGCATCGCCGACCTAGGATATCCCGGTCCGTCTATAAGGAGAGTGGGCGTTTGAATCGCATCACACAAAAGCAGGCGTGCTAACTTTTGCACGTGTTGCTGCTGCAGCTCCTTCAGCCATCGGCGGTTTCTGAAACACAAACATTGGCAACGAAACTTCCAGCAAATATACGAAGAGCGCAACTCGTCGCTTAAGGCGCACTGGTGTTGACTTGCGGTGAGCGATTTTGTTCTACTTCGAATGCAATTGGGAGCATATCCTTCGCTATTAAGTTGTAACAAAATGAAGCACACTTGTCCGATAACTTAGGAGAATTGCATCGAAATTCCACGGTACGACCCTCTAAGACCAATGCCGGACTGATTTGGGCCACAAGCTGAGTTACGAGTCACCCGCGTACCTCACAACTCTCGGCTGCTTCCAATTAGGGATTCATATCCCTCGGCAGCTCTGTGGCGGCGTCTGTCCGTCGCCCCTACATAGTCGGGTAATGCGATTTCCCACCGGTCCAACGCTGCTCATCATTCGTCCGCCTCCTCACACCATTGTTCTTATATAACGCCGGCCGGTCCTACTTACGGCCACCTCCCAGTGCACTCAGCTCGGGACCAGGAGCCTGTCTGGGCGGCCCGGCGGGTCGGTGGCTGGTCCCCAAGTGGTCCAGCGTCGGTGGCTGGTCCTCGATGGTCCGGTGACCGTGCCTGGTCCTCAGGTGACACTGTGTCGTCCTGGATGGTCCACCGGTCCTTGAGTAATCCGCAGTTGTGGCCAGGGTCCTCAGATGGTCTGGTGGTCCTTAGATGGTCCGGTGGCTGTGCCTGTTCACCATGTGGCCCGGTCCTTCATCCTCAGGTGGTCACTGGTCAGTTGCCTGCAGTCGTGGGCACGCGGTTTCGGTAAACGGTTACCGAGTGCTCGCTGGTCCTCCGATGGTCCGTCGTTGGGTGACTGGTCCTCAAATAGCCCTCGTCTGGCGCCTGGTCCTCAGGTGCAGTCACAACGCAGTTCCACCCACCGCCGCATCCCTCCCCCTCCCTTCGACCGCGATCACTACCGGGAGAGCGGGCTGGCCGATCGACCCGACCTGGTCGGACCGGAACTCTCATCGATGGCGTCCTGAACGAATCTCCGCCGGACGCGGCAATACGACCGACGGTCCCCGGGGCCGATAAAAACGCGACACGTCCTCCGGAGAGACCGCTGTCCTTCTGAGGACACTGCGCGCCACTCGGTCGGCAGTGTCCGGATACAGATCCAGACGCGTCCGGAGTTAGCACAGATGATTGCCAGATGAGTGATGGATGGGTGACAAATGAACAGATGGGTAAAGGAGCACTAAACATACTGTGGAAGATTAATATTCTGCGGATTATCGTACTTTTAGATTATCTAATGGAGCAATAGCATTCATCGCTCATCATCGTTTTATTCAACCGGTCAGAAATCCGTCCGTGCCGGGTCTGCTCGAGTGGGTCAAATTACAGCGAACAATGCTCGCCGAACTGTTGGCACATGTCGCAGAGTCGCGGGCAGACGGTGGCCTTACGCATGGAATCAATCTCATTCGCCATGACCACCGAGTTGTTTCATTGCCCCGATTATTTGGTCGTCAAGATTGACACAGCTACCGTGTTGGCCAGCTCGTGTATCGCTGGTATAGATATTTGTGCTGTTTTAGCCTCTCACTGCAGAATGGCAGTTCGGTGGTTGAGGTTTCCTCAGGGCTGTGCGGTTCTGGACAAATGATAACAAATGGTAGATGTGCGGCACGGGACACATTTATCACTCCTCTTGGACGTGCCCGCTTTCCAGTCGCATCGATTCTGGAGCACGCCCGAAATTCGATTTGCGCCAAGGATTCACGTCATCGCATAACCAGGCGCATTGGTCAACGCGTCAACAGGTTAACTTTACCCGCTGTCAGTAACTTGTTGAGATCAAATGACTCATGAGTCCACCAGAGGAGCATAATCAAAGCTATTCATTTACATTATTATCTGATATAACAATGAGAAGAGCTCAATCCAAGATGAATGAACTTCTGTGCTGAATTTACTGGCAATTACCTGGTTGGATGGTTTGCTAGAACAATGCTAGATGAGATTCAGGGTCTGAAACTAAGCCTCGTCTGTCCGTGCCTATTTCGGAGCCCGGCCCGCCAATGAAATAATGAAAGGCGGCGGGTCCGGCCGGCCGACGGCGCGCCGTCCGAGCTGCGAGGTGTGCTCGGTCCAGGTCCCCGCGGTGCCACGGACCACGCCGCGGTCAGCTCAAACAGAGCCGCTGCCGTTCCCAGTTTGACACAAATGGTCCGACTGGCTTCTCCCGACGCCGCCAACATCCCCAGAAGAGCGGTTTGAGCCGACACGTGACCGCACCGCGAGGGGGCGGGGTGTGAGGACGCTGAGCGCGTGACCTCAACGCTAGGGCCTAGGGACGGGCGTGGGGACGCGGTACGTAGCTAACCAATGAGCTAACGTACCCCATTCGGGACGAGGCGTTATTTCGGGACGTAGTGCTTTGTGAGGACACGTATCGCGAGACGGAGTGGAATGCAGTGGGTTAACTGAGGTGACTGAATGATGTCGGGGTTAATGTCGGCTCTTCAGTGCCGCGCAGCCGACTGACTGATGGGTGGTTATTTCTGTAGTGGTCCAAGCTACACCGCCTACTGACGACTGTCTCCTGCTCCAGGTGGGATCCGGCCCGGCGAATGACCCCCGAGGAGGCGGTCAGACACCCATTCCTGGCGGCCGGCCGGGCGGCTCCGCTGCCGCCCCCGCCCCCGCCCGCCAGCTGGAGCGACGAACCAGCCGGCCGCGCCGCCGCCGCCGTCGCCACAGTCGCCGCCGCCGGTCCGGCACGGAGAAGCGCCGCCGCCGCTGCGTCGTCGGGAGGAGGTCGGCATGTCCTGCGCTCGGAACTGGCTCCGCCGCCAGAGCCGGATCCCCACGGCACAGGAGCCGCTCTGGAGGCCTGTCTGCCGCCCATCCACTAGCCGGGGTCTCTGTTTTACCGTGACGTGACTTGATGCGTGTGTGGACGGCGCGCGGCGGATTGGGTGACGAGAACAGCCGACTGGGGCAGGCTCTGAGACGGGGTGTAGCCTTGAAAGGCCACCCTGTCACCGGTGGTTCTCTAGAGGGTCTCCTGCTCTCTGAACTCGGTGGAGCACCGCCCGCCCGCCGCCACCCGCTGTTTTATACACGCCGACGCCGAGCTGAGCGGAGTCCGTCAGCCGTGCTGAACCAAAGATCAAACCAAAGTTCTATGGGAGAGGGAGGGGTGATCCGCCTGCCAGCAGCAGGTTTTGTAAACAATGTATGACGGGGCTGCGTGTGACGCCTGGCGGATGGATGCCGCCGCGTGGTTGAGACGCGTCGCTGCAATAAAAAATGTGAAATAGCCTCGTGGAAGCATTCATCTCGCAATATTGGAGAACGGCATTTGATCGTTTAGTGCCGCATGACTGAAAAGAGAGCGAACAAAAACAGATTGCGTTCGGAAATCAGAAGCTTAAGATCGACGCACTATCAGAAATATGAACACATATGAAGCAGTAGAAATGATTAATCATCTAAACTATTAGAAATGGCTCATTCATGCTTACTCTTCGAAAGAGCCTGCAATCACAGGACAGAAGGTTGCTGCTCGTTTCATTCTTTGGAACCGGCGCGCCATGTTTGGTCAGTGTCCATTTGGTAGTTGTTGGCTGTTTGCGCTAAAGGAGGATCTGAAAATCTGTTATCTGCTACACTCGATCGGCGTATTGAAAACTACGGATACAGTGGATACGATATCCCGTGACACGACACCGAGGATCCGACAAAACGTAGCACAGTGCCAGGATCTGACACACACGCCATCACCGTTCTATTAACGAGATTCTGACATTTGGAACATAGTGACAGTGACAAAATACCAGGGGCTTGACGGGTTTGACAGCCGCTGATGGTAACTAGTACGCATCGTCCGAAGATGGATCCTGTTGAATATTCACGTGACGTGATCAGTCCAATGACTGATATATAAGATGAAAGATAGGACGAATGGCAAATGAGCCCATCGAGGCGACATTACCTAGAAACCCACTGCCTCCCCGGCCAGCGCAACCATCCTTACAGCGCTAGCAGCGTCGGGAGGCTGTCGCTAAGCTGAAAAACCAAACAACAAACGCATCATACCCCTCCGTGGCAACAGCACACGGCGGATATAATTCTGTCACGAGCCTCTCATCGCGCAGGTCCGGCTCGATCGTGCCGGTTCACCGAAGCGATGATCTCCCAATCTGTTCCGATCCGCGCCATTTCATCGGCTCAGCCGCGTCAACCGCTCGGCACGCGCCACATTAGTCGCACAGGCGCCGTCATGTGCGCTACTTAGTCCACGGGTGAGCTAGGGTACACACAGGGTAATGATGATTGTAGTCTGGTACGTCTCGGTACGTGTGATATTGTGATAGGGGTTCAACGGGCCCAGAGTGGCAGCACTCATCGCAAGAGCCGCTTCCTGACATCAAATCGATATTCATAGCCTTCAATCCATCATCCATCCAAACAGGTAAATATGATGCATTTTTCTGTTTTTATTTGGTTTTCTCGTACAGAAATAAGAGTTTTTATTGCACAAACGCCGGTTACAATGCGAGGGTGTTACGCAGCGCCGGGTCGCCACTGAGGTGGGCCACATCACAGCAGGCCGGCAGGGTCAGTAGGGGGGACCCGAGCCGACCCGGCAGCCGTGCGGTGCCCCTCGCCGTGCCTGCCCTGCGGGTCAGGCCGAGCGAAGGACGGCCGACGGCAGCGGTTTGGGAGAGGCTCGGGACCCGTAATAGAGTACGAAGGGGAGGGAGACAGCCCGTCCCGCCGACCGGGTCAACTAAACGGTCAGTCAGACTCGGACGGACCGAATATACGAGACCCAGCGGTAGGACAGTGTACAGCGCCGCCCTAGTGGACGCAGACCGAACTAGCAGGTGCAGGTCAGCCCAGCTGGGTACTGTTTCACAGCACACTGCTACCTGCCTCTACCAGGCATTGGAAGAGCTCGGAGTCCATGAAAATGCAAGCAGAATTGACAAGTTTGCTTACGTTTCCATGGAAACCGGGCGCCAATACCAGTCAGCGGCGGATAGCGGCGTACCATGAAACAGGGCCCAGGCGTCGCGAGCTGGAGCTCCGAACCTGAGGAGCCGCCCGGCACGTGCTAAAGCTAAACATCGTCCACTTAGACGGCAAGAGGGGGAGGGGGTAGCTACATAAAGCACGATACAAGACCAACAAACTGTGAGTTCATGTCAACCAGAAACAAGGAGGGGTCTTTTATATCTAACAGGCATTAACAGATATGTGACACCTTTGGTCGAGACTCGAGAGTATATAATATTATTGTCAATGATAACACCTCCTGGTTTGGTGAGATGAGCTCACAGTTTCAGGTCGATATTCCCATTTATGGAACTAGCCCCATATATCGATAGAACTGTCCCGACTCTGTCCGATCTCCTGTCTGGAGGCGGTGTTCGGACCGCGTCCCGGGCGGGCCCGGAGGTGGCGACTCCTGCCGTCACGCGGCCAACGGCCCGCAGCGGATACCAGGGCGCTGCGGGTCACCAGTCGGCCGCCCGGACCCACCCTCGGAGAGTTAGCGACAGAGACGGGACACACAGACACACAGAAGAGCCCGCCCCAGCCCCGACACAGAGGGATCCGCAGCGGGCCGCGCGCGCTACCAAACGTTCCGGCCGGCCACCGGACGAAAAACAAAGTCAAAACCTGATCGGATATCACAGCTCTCCACAGCTATGCAGTCCATTATTTAACAGTTGTCACATCACCAACAAACAATTATATACTCTGTCGGGGGCGGCGCGCGCGGCCGGCTGCGGGGAGACCCAGGGACGGGGCAGGGGCGGGTAGAGAGACACAACACGACACACATGCGTCGGGAGGGCGCGGGCATAGCGGACCGGGGCCGGGGCCGCCGAGCGACCCGGGCCCCTGCCTCCGTGCTAACACACATAGGTGAAGAACTGACAACACCGAGAACCAGAAATGTCGACAACCTTGAACTCGCAACGCGGAAATATTAGCGCACAAAAAGCATCCTCGCTCTACGAAGACTCAACGAACTCCAGACCTTTTTCGTAAGGATGCCTTTTGCGGGCGACATCTCCGGCGCGAGTCCAAAGGTTGCGATGCTAGTGCTGAATGCGTGTGTCCGGTTTTCACCTTTGCGGACGTACACCTGCGCTACAGATACCGAGACTGGAGCGCGGCGGTAGCCGGCGGCTCACCCGACAAACATTGGCTGCCGGGACCGCGGGCCGCGCGGCCGGCGCCCGCTCGCACCGGGCCCTCAGGCTCCGGACGGGGCGGGACGGCCGATCTCGCGGCGGGCGGCGGCGGCAGCGTCCGGCCGTTCCCCGACAGGGTAGCAGGCTGTCGGAGACACAGCGGCGCGGTGGCAGCAGGGACGGCGGCGGCGGCGGCTGACCGGCAGGGATAGCGGGCGCGGGCCAGCCGGGGGCCGACCGCAGCGCCCCTGGCGGCGGGGAGGGGACTTAGCGGGGCGGAGCAGCTCAGCTGAGACTGACGGCGGCAGCCGCGCTGGTCGACAAGTAGACACCGCAGGCGGGTGGGAAGACCAGCATCACCGCGGCGTCAGCGGTCCGGCCGGCGGTACCGAGTTGTTCACCGGCGACCGACCGGCTACTGGGCCGTCACGTGAGGTCTGAAACAACACAGACAAGACACATGACGGTCAGAACTGGTGGGATTCATTACAAAGTTCACACCTCCATCGGCCTCAGACAGAAAACAAACCCAGCATAGTGTTACTACGACCAATAACAATACACAAGACGTGATCGACGATACTCAAAGCGTTCAGCTCACCTTACAGATTTTGATTAATACATCATCATATCGCATTTTCAGCAGCCGACTCGATAGTGCGCCCGCGCGAGCTTCCATCACAATAAAAACCCTACCCACCTACCCCTCACTTTCGCTTACCCGTCGGCGCCGTCGTCGGAGCCCGTCTGGCCGTCACCGGCGGCGCGGTCGGCCGACCCGCCGGCGGGGGACGACGGAGACCCGTTGGTGACATTGTCCAGACCGAGCTCCGTCAGGCCGGTGAGCGCGGTCAGCGCGGCCTGGTCGTGCGCGGCCTCCACCGTCGGTCCCGAGCCGTGTGACATCTGAGGCGGCTGCGTGCTGAGCGACACCAGTGAGAGGAACTCGGATTTGTTGCCCTGAGAGAGAGAATAAAATGGTAGGGTCAGATCGACCGAGCAGAGTGCCTTTCTGCACATAAAAAACATCACGCGAATACAGAAGCTTGAAAAGGCTTACAAAAAATGGACGGCTTTTCATTAAGCATCTAGCTCGTTAAAAGTTCAAGAATTTCAGTGAATAGCTTATTGAAAAAACGATCATTTATGTTTGGCATTGTCAAAAAAAGATCGAAGTAACACTGTCAGCATTTGTGAAACATACCACTTTAAATACATCTCGAAACTAGAACAGCGAACTGATAAGTGCCTCCTAGTTTCCTATCGAATCTTGACGCGAATTACGCGCCACGGTGATTGTGTACTCACCCTCGGTATGTCGGTGAACTGGACCTGGAAGCCCAGCACCTTGGCCAGGTACAGCAGCTGCTGCTTGGGCCGGACACTGGAGACCACGGCAGGAGCGGCGGCGGGGATCGGCGCAGGCGCCGGGGCCGGCGCAGGCTGCGGCGCAGGCGCCGCCGCAGGCTGACGAGACAGGGAAGATACGAGTTACACAGTGAGTGATATAGTGAAACGGAACATGTCACGTTATCATTATCATATCATCAAAACGAAGTAACTAACTAGCAATACCTTACATTCCAAAAATACGACTACCTTAAACATTCAAGTGATATAAAATGTGCGTGATTGGGAAAAAATAACATCCCATTCGATTCCATGCAAGGCACGGTGCGGTCGAGCCAGATCCCTTTCGGCTACCCACGGTCCCACCCACCTGTCTCGGTGGCGCGTGAACAGCCGGCTGCGGCGCGGCAGCAGCGGCCGGCTCGGCCGGGGCTGCCTTGGTCATCTCCTTGGCCGCCGCAGCCATGGCCTGGGCGGCCGAGCCACCGCTCGGTCCCGTCGCCGTCGCCTGCTGTGGCACCAGTATCAGCCCGGGCACCAGCTGCCGGCCGACCGCCGGGGCCGGGGTCGGCGCCGGGACCGGGGCCGGCTCGGCCGGAGCCGCTCCCTCCTGGAAGGTGACCCGCCGTGACCGGTCGGCCGGCTCGCTCTCTGTGCCGGCCTGTTTCAGACTGGGCCGGCCGACCGGCGGCTGCGGCCGCGAGTAGCCCAGCTCGACGAGCAGTGCCTCGGCGGCGGCGCGTTTGGCGAGCTTTTTGTTGGGCCCTGTGCCGGAGCAGGTGTGTCCGCCGGCCGACACAGACATGACGAACTCGCGGCGTCGGGCCATGCCCCGCTCGTCGACCAGAGTGTAGACGGGCTCGCGCTCCTTCTTGGCCTGCTGGATCTGGATGAGCCGCGAGATCGGATTGATGCCCTGGTGGGGGTCCGGCGAACACTTCTGCTCCTGGAGATACACAGACGGGATTGGAGTCAGCCATAGCTTTGCAATGTGAAACGGGTACATGCAAATATAATATTTGTTGAGGAAACAAAATACCAGGCAAAATTTATGTCATAATATGTTATTAAACCAATGACCGAAAAAAATTAATTATCAACAAACATCTTTTGCTGGTTGTCAGGCTGACGGACACACATGTATGCTTAGTCAATGCAAGCTCACCTCAGGAGTAACCTTGATTAGATTTCGTGATTTCTTTTTTGTGGCGTTTGGTTTTCGTTTGACCTTGGTGATGCTGGGCACGGCAGGCAGGGCCGGTAACTTCTTCAGTTCATCCAACATCAGCTCAGCCGCCCGCTTCTTCGATAACTGATCGCGTGCAAAGAGAAAAAGAGCAGCGTGAATAAAAACAATTGAACATCCACAGCCACAAATTGTATATCAAATGCGTATAGCTTCGATCAATGTCAGCCAAGGGTTAGTTAAGTGTCTTGAAACCAGGACTGATTCTGCCCTCTTTTTTAAGCAATCGTGCGGTGTCAGCGTCGTGTTTCGGTACCTTTTTAGAGCTGCCCTCGCCGTCGGTGGTGATGTCGCCACAGAAACACTGCGTCAGGAAGGTGCGCATGTGCGGCGGACCCGTCTCGCGCGTCACCGTGAAGCCCACGCTGAGACTGCGCTTCAGGCCGATCTCATGCACCAGCGAGATGGGAGACTTGAGGTCGGCGTTCGGGTCGTCCGACCCTGTGGAGGCGGGAGGAGCAGAGCGTCACACGAGGTTGGGCAGCACAGGTGGACAACGCTCAGCTGGACACTGAGCAGCGTGCGTAGAGTAATGCACAGCGGCACGCGCTAAGGAGCAGCTGGCACAGAAGGAACACGAGCCTGACACGAAATTCATGAACGTCAATTACATATGCACAACGCTTGATGACTTATCATGAAACTTAAAATGTGAGTGTAAATGATGACGGTTTGAAAATGATGTTTATCCGACAACATCATCAGTCTAATTACCGTCAGAGTAATCATTCACTCCTGCACTGCACATTCCACAACGCGGTAGTCTTTAAATTGTACACAGACTGGCCCTTTCTATTCTACACAATATCATTGACCTGCCTACCCCCAGACCTGGGTAGCCGACTGACCTGCGCTGGTGGCCCCCTGCACGTGTCCGGGTAGCGGCAGGTCCCTGAGCACCTTCAGCGCCTGTGCAGCCGAGGCGTGCCGCGCCGCCTGCGGGTTGGCGCCCACGCCGAAAAACTCGCGCTCGCCCACCCGGAGACTGACGTGGTACTGAGGCGTGTAGCTGAGACCGCCGCGACCGAACCGCTGCTGGCACATATGTGGATTCGTGGTCAGTTCATTGTTAATGGAAGGTGACTCATGTCTGTGCTTTGCAGTGTTATCTGCTGCATTTATGAAAACACGACTGCATAATTGAAAAGTCAAACAAGGATAACAAAGGTGATTGGGTGAGAGCTGAGAACCACTCATGAACAGTTTAACAACGACCCCAAAATAAGTGACCATATCAACACTAGTGGACTAAGCCAATAGTTGGTGGGCTACAATGTGCCAATTCGTTCACCCACAGCCCACACTACCGGGAAACACCGTTGTGCGTCTAACTCTGCACTGCCAGCCTTATCAGCCGGTCGGTCTACATTCGGCACACCCTGCAGGACCCACCGCTTGCAAGTTTGCATCTCTTCCGGTCCACACCGCCCCGCGCCACCAAATCCCACCTGTTGGCCTCAGTGTCCCAAAATTATATTTTTGCTTGGGTGTCAGAGGGGAAAATTGCTGACCAAAAAAGGATGAGAGTGAAAAATTGTCGGTCAGGTGAGGCCCAAAAAGAGTGGGAAAATGATCAAAAACATTAATCTATCTACAACTGTGACAGATGCAAAACAACCACTCACGCAATTGCTCCTTTCGGTGGAATTGAGAGTGGAAAATTGGGCTTGAAAACTGGAGGTGAGAGTGGAAAATGATTTTCATTTGGATGTCGTTTCCCACCCACATCTGCAAATTTTGGGACACTGGTTGGCCTGATATTTTGACATTACGGTGTCCGGCATGTGCGTGCACTCTCGCAAAGTACGACACTCCCACCCACCGACGCCGGGGCTGTTAGGTCTCCAATTCACCTGGTAGTTGACCCTGTAGTTGATGTGGCTGTGCGGTAAGACTACGGACGCTCGATGTTAACTCCTTCCCCAATGACTGTCTGAGACTCACCTGGTAGTTTACCCTGTAGTTGATGTGGCTGTGCGGCAGGTAAGGACTCTCGATGAAGGTGTACATGGCCGTCTCGTTGCGCTTCATGGCGAGCGAGTTCAGCTCTACAGTCGGTGTCAGACCTGGCAAAGAGAAACGAGACGTCATAATTCAATTAAGACGCAGTAATAATATATATATATATATATATATATATATATATATATATATATATATATATATATATATATATATATATATATATATATATATATATATATATATATATATATCTCACGTTTGTATATTTGGGCAGAATATTTTCATTGAGACAAGTTTCATTAAACAGTACTGCACTTTTTGCTTTGCTAAGTTTCTTGTTGAGTTTTTGGATCTTGTTAAAGTTATGTTTGATCACAGTTGGTAAGGTGCTCAAAATATCAGTGACACTCATATAATCATATTTTATCTTAAAATATGATCTTAAATCATAAGGTAAATCTTTAATCTTTTATCTTTATTATCGTTAAATCTTTTTAAGATAAAATCATATTTTATCTTAAAAATAGATAAAATATGATTATATGAGTGTCACTGATATTTTGAGCACCTTACCAACTGTGATCAAACATAACTTTAACAAGATCCAAAAACTCAACAAGAAACTTAGCAAAGCAAAAAGTGCAGTACTGTTTAATGAAACTTGTCTCAATGAAAATATATATATATATATATATATATATATATATATATATATATATATATATATATATATATATATATATATATATATATATATATATATATCGCCATTGTTCGGTGTTAACTCAATTTGTTATTCAGTTCCCAGTGTTTTAAACTCTCAGTAGTAAAGCCAGCACCTTGACGAAGGGCTTTACCATGTGTAAATCTCTCATATCAACGCACATTAGACCGTCCATTGACTCTCAGCAGAAAAAGGAAATAAAAATACTCCATTTAAATCCATGTGTTATATAAAAGTGCGAATGCTGCATCCATCGAATTTCCAAAAAGAAAAGGTAAATAGGAAAACTGCAGTCCAGATGCGAAGGACAAACCGTTGACTCCCAACCGAAAGTAGCAAATACTGCCTACGGTGACTCGGACGTGCATCACGTACTGGTGCGGGTGCTGCGCTGCTGTTTCGGCGGCGGGTGTTTGAACTTGGTGGCCTGCAGGGCGTTGCTGGCTGCCGCGTGCTGCGCCTTCTTGATGCTCGGCCCGGTGGCCTGATACTCCTCCTGGCCCAGCTGCAGTATCACCGTGAACGTTTTCTTGTGTGCCGGCCCGTGCTCGTCAGTCAGCCGGTACTGGTGCTGAATTTTGTTATACCTGCCACACGTACAAAACGGTCGTCAGCACACATGAGAGGGAAGCGGTACCGACGGAAATCACACAAAGACATACAGGTCCATGTGAGTGAAAATAAATGTGACAGCATGTGGTGCTGCGTAACTCATTGACCAAAAGACTTGCGGTATTGAAAATAGATGAAGTATAGTAGTATACAGAAAAGTACAAACTATTGGCATCCATTATCCCGGCAAAATACCTCGGAATCATCGACCAAAAGGTCACAGAAACAAGTGTTGAAAATATGAAAAGCTGCGGTCTGACCTGGCCAGTTCGTTGATGAGACACATGGGCGTCTTTTCCTTCCCATCCGCCGACCCCCCGGCCGCCCCGGCAGTCGCCCCGTCCTCGGCGTTCGACGAGAGAATCTGTCCCACCACGGGGGTGCCGCCGGTCGCCCCCGCAGCGGCCGCCTGCTGCTGAGCCTGCTGCGGCGGCTGCTGCTGCTGCTGCGGAGGCGGCTGCTGAGGCGGCTGCTGCGGCGGGGGCGGCGGCGGCTCGGCGGCCAGCGGCGGCGCAGAGAGCTGCGGGTGCGGCTGCATCTGCGGCGCCACGGCCGCCAGGTGGGCGTGCGGGTGGAACGGCTGCGGGTGGGCGGCCAGGTGGTGCGCCGCCTCTAGCTCCTGGTGCGCCAGCGGCGGCGGCGGCCCGTGCGCCATCACCACACTGGGCGCCATCATGGGGCTCATGCTCACCAGACCTGCCAGAGGAACGACGGCAGAGGGGCAGTGAGTGCACGGACAGAGGCACAAACAATTGAAGAAGCAGTGGCAGACAGACACATACAGACAGACAGCAGGCGAAGGCACAGCTGAGAATGAAAGGATGTCCATTCTCGTTCCTCGAAGAACAAAAAATATTAATTGCATTTTTCTCACAACAAGATAGCCAATTACAAAGCAGAGTAAAAATGGGGACATATATCAAAGTCTTGATGGGAGCAGCACAACCATTTCACTCTAAGGTTGCCTTTCACATTGGTTCTGAAACAAGTATCACTATTTGCTATGACAATTGACAAGTAAATATTCAAAACAATTCATCATAATTGCTGGCATGGACTGCCCATGCCAATGCTCAAATGGCCATGCCGCATGGTTCACCTCATCCTCATGACTCACCTGTCATGGTGTTTGGCGGTGGCTGCTGCATGCTCACCATGATGGCCGGACGCTGTTGATGGACAATGCCAGCCTGATGTGCTACTCTCATCGGTACCTGCGCCATCCTGTGCAAAAAAAAAAAAACATTGCCAATAACTCTGGACCAGCTTCTGCTATTCTTATTCTCTTCAGTAACATTTTAAAAACTTCTTTAACAATAGGGTATGGTTGGGAGATAAACAGATCAAAAACTTAAAACTTTTCCCTGAAAATGACAATAAATGGACATTGATCAGGCAGAGATTAATAACAAAATGCACATGAAGAAGTGAACTTGGGTAGGAGCAGTGGTTTACAAATATCATCAAGCTACTTTAGCGGAGCCTAAGACTGTCATACCTCGCACTCATTTATTGTTCTCAATAATAAGTTGGTAAGGCAGGGAATCAAAAAATTCAGGGCTGTAGCTTCCATATACATAATCACTTTGAAGTAAATGCACGATATGCTAGAACCAGTACAAAGCCAAATATGGAGTGCGCCACTTTCGTAGAAGGTATCGAATATCACATTTCTTACCTACTATTTGTAAGTAAAACAACACCGAAAGACCCTTAGTGGGCTGGCGCAAACAGGCGATCGATAACAGGCTGTGATCGTCCAAAAACACTCAAATCCGAATATTATGCTATCCCTTATATCCTGTCCCCCACTCTCCCCAACATTCTTTCTGGTAATATTCAAGTTCGGTAATATTTTGGTTTTCTTTCACCTTGTCCTCGCAAATACGTTTTTGTGACGTCATATAATGCGAGGTTCCCATTGGCTCGCACAAAATGACGTCATAGTTCTAGCGAAGTACGAGTACAGCACATCCTTCAGGTTCTTTTGCCATAGGATTTCGAGAAAAATACGTTTATTTCAATTAAGAACCTGCTGTTTATTTCAATTAAGAATTTCTGTTGGCATCGAACGTGACGGCACAAGGCACTCATCTTTTGGCACACCTGCGCTAAGCGCCTTTTTCGCATCCTGTCATCCAGCGGGACTAAACGTGGCCGAAATCGGATGCGGAGGTTCGATTTTCTTGCACTAGATTTCCTTGCCCTCAGACGAGACGTGACTGTATGGGTTCTGAACTGACTCAGACGTGTGTCTTTAGTCTTTACATGCATGCAGGACGTCGCTTTGTCGAGTCCAACGGCTCCGGAGATGCATTCTGCGTCATTCCTTGATAAGCATGCCTCTATTCATTTTACGGATAATTTCATTTTTCAAACGTTCAGCTTACTCCCTTGCGATTCCGAAAAGCATCCTGGCAAGTAAAACATGGTCAGCTGGCAAGAAAAGTGAGCATCATCGTCCACGTCAAATCAGACCGATGCGAGCATCCAAGCGACAAACCACCCTTCCACCGATCGACCATGTATTGGTGTGATTGCATCCGTGATAGGGCATGGACCAACAATGTGGGATATACGTACACTATCTGACAAGCTCACGCCTGCCAGCTTACACAAACATTTACACACGCACACATTACAAACACGGGACACACATTGGGATGCACCCACCATAACGGATCGTCTCAAAGGCGACGAGATCAGTCTCGCTTTTGCCCTCAGGGTCGGGATGTGAGGGGTTGAACTGAGCGATTTGAACTGAGCACGGCCTCACAGTCTGACTGGCAAAGTACATTCACAGGTGTTCGCCGCACCCAATCCCAAACCCTATATTTTGAACTGTATGATTCTCCTGAACAGCCAATTTGCGATCCTGACGCACTTCTGGAAAGGCGACCCGGTCTGATGCGATTGCATCTGACATTGCACAATGACCGCTCCATGGAGTGCTGAGCTCAAAAGAAGAATCCTAACGAACTGTGCAACAGAACGAGCAGCGCGCGACAGGCGTGTTCCATAACACCAAATCAACGGGATCAGCAGACAATGAAAATGGCACGAGCCCACCAACAGCGAAGAGATTTAACGGCTGAATGAAAGACAAATGACGGACAAATAACCGTCTTACCGGGCACTGGCAAAGAATCGGTAGGGATGTTTTAACGAGTGCATCAACTTGGAAGGCGGCCAATCCATTGACCAGAAGTAACGATCTCATGTAACAGTTACAGCCGGCAGAATAAAGCGGGCCTCAACTCGCTCAGATCGCATGGCGGCGGGCTATGTTGATTATCAACGCCTCCCCGAAAGATCAAATCAGATCCGCGGCTGGGCGATCAGTGCTAGCCACACGCAAATCATAGTCAAACATATTAGCTAATGTCCATAAAGTCACATCAACACGTCAAAATATCAGCAGAATCTGCAGCAGCGGCAGCACACCACAACATCACCTCATAAGACGGCCGACATCGGCCGGCAAACACCGCTCCCGGGACAGGGCTGACCTCTGGCGAGCGCTAACAACGCGCCCAATATGGCCCGACTTCGGCACTTGGTACCTGTCCGCACCAGCCTGATAAACTCTCACAATAAAACGGGATCACAGATGACACCAGCTGGCTATGTACACTGCCGACGCCGCGCGGCCCCCGTCGAGATCGATACTCCCACCGACGGCAGCGCGCCGCGCCGCCTACACCATGAGGAGACACTGCTGCAGTTTACGCACCACCGACTGGTCCAGCGCACACAGGTCGAAATCGTACGAATTGGCACTGTCCTCTACCTGCCCCGTCTCCCAGATCAAATCGAACACGCGGCTCAGCTCGTCACGATCCTGTGACGTCATAATGCGACGCTGCAGCTCCTGCAGCTCGGCCAGGTACTCGGCCGTGTAGATGGACAGGTCGGGACGCTCCGATTTGACCGGGGTGGCGGTCTGCGCCGGCTCGGCCGCCGCCGGTGCCTCGGCCGGCACGGGCTGCGGCCTGGCGCTCGGCCGCGGGCTCGGGCCGCCTGACCGTTTGCTGACCAGGGAAGGGGTCTCCAGTTCGTCGTCACTGTCACTGGACGAGTCGCCGCTCGGGGACGACCCAGCCACCTCGTTCATCAGCTGGCGGAGCGGGTGCGACTTCCCTGCCGGCGGCGAGGAGCTGCGAGCAGAGGCGGTGGACGCCGGCCGCTCAGGCGAGGGCGAGCGCGGCCCAGCCGGAGACGCCGGACCGGCAGGGGCCGCCGCCGCCGCGCGCTGACGAGCAGGCTCCTCCCGTGTCTTGGAGGCCGGGGACGAGTGCTCGCGCTTTCGCTTTTTGGCAGCTTTGTGCCGGGCGGCGTCGGCGGGGCGGCCACGCGTCTCGGACGCCGGCGAGGCGCGCACCTCGGTCTTGACCGGCGCGGGCGGCTCGGCCGAGCGAACCGGCGTCGGCTGTTTGCGCTCCTCGCCGTCGCCGCTGGCGCGCTTCTTCTCGTCGCGAGCCTTGGCGGCCTCTTTGGCGCTGGCCTTGGCTCGATGCCGCTCCTCCTTGGATGGCCTCTCCTTCGCCTTGGTGCTGTGGGACTCGGGCGTTTTAACCTTGGCGCCGTGGCCGTCCGGCGACTTGCCCTTGCTGGAGACAGAGCTGGACGACGTCGTCTTCTCCAGCGGCCGGTGCTTCTTACTCTCGTCACGCTCCTTCTTGACCTCGGCCTTGCCGTTCTCCAACTTTATCTTCTTTGTCGACTCCTCCGACGGAGAGCGGGATCGTTTGGCGGCCTTCTTGGCGCTGCGCTCTTTTGCTTTGGCCGCCCGCAGCTCCTGTGCCTTCTGCTCCTTCAGCTTGGCTTCCTTCAGGACCTGCTCCTTCTCCCTGGCCTGCTTTTCCTTCTCCAAGCGCGCCGCTTCCTTCTCTTTCTCTCTTTCGAGTGCTTTCTCCTTTTCTGCCTTCTCACGCTCCAGGGCTTTCTCTTTCTCGATTCTTTCCTTCTCAGCCGCCTTCTCCTTCTCAATGCGCTCCCGCTCTGCCTTCTCTTTCTCTAACGCCTTCTGCTTTTCTCGCTCAAGTCGCTCCTTCTCCTTCGCCTCCTCCGCGCGCTTCTCTTTCTCTTTCTTCAGACGATGTTTCTCTTTTGCCTTCTCCCTCTCCTTTTCTCTTTCTCTCTCTTTTTCTTTCTCCTTCTCCCTGTCTTTTTCTTTCTCCTTCTCTCGATCTTTTTCTCTTTCCCTCTCCTTCTCCTTCGCCTCCTTAGCGCGATGTTTCTCCTCTCGGTGTTTATGCCTCTCCTCCTTGTCTCGGTGCTTCTTCTCTCTACTCTTATCCTTCTTCTCCTTCTCCCGATCTCCGTCCCGGTGGTTCTTATCACGCCTTTCGGCGCTGTGAGATGACCTCTCCTTACTCCCGGCCGCATCAGTTGACCCCGGCCGGGCGGCGGAAGACCCTGACGCGGCTGAGGCTGCCGAAGGGGGACGACCCTTCTTCGAGTCAGGCGGAGAAACATGACTGGTCTTCTTGATCGGCTGGCCGAACAGATTCTCGAAGTCGCTGCGTGGCTTGTGCACCGGCTTCTTGTCGCCAGTCGAGCGTCTGTCGGTGGACTTTTTATCCTGCAACAGAGGAGAGCCGAGCGTCAGTCCTGACCACCATAACCGCTCAGCAGCAGGCGGTGGGCGGCACAATGCGGGTGGAACGGGAGACGCGCGACAGCCGACCGCAAACGGCAGACATTAGACGGGTCACGGACATAGGTACATACAGCACAGAGAGCGGCATACGCCTGCAGTAAGCACACGCAGGGACCGGTGGAGTAGGACGACCAGCAGAGGAAACGAACGAAACGGACGACCGACAGCAGAGAGCGCGACTCGTTCCGCGTGACAAAAGTCGACGATAGCAGGCCACGTGATACGGCGACAACGCATGGTTAGACGTAATCCGCGAGTCACGTGATACAGCGACGGAGCAGGGAAAAGAAAGGGTCATGCGGTGCGGCAAGCGAGTATGAGACAGGCGTGATCAAAACCACGTGATTTAGTGGCAGACATGGGATAGTCGTGATCCGAGGGTCACGTAACAGAACGCCTCACAAGCCGGAGGAAGGAAAACGCCCGAAATAGCGGACAGACTCAGCCACCAGTTTCTGTTCTCCATTTTCCGAAACAGACCACAAACACGACCAGACTTTGTTCTCCAATTTCCGAAACAGATCACAATTAGGGCTCAACATAACGCAACTCAACATAAAAAATTGTCATACGGATACGGCAATGAACAACGTTCCACTAGTCCCCCCCCCCCCCCAAAAAAAAATGACATGCCTAGACACATCCGCCGACTGTATAGTTAATATTTCCTCCAAAGTTCTCTTTTTGCCAAATTTGCTTCATGTCCTCCGCGTTATTTTTCTTACAAATGTTTCGTCATTTTGAATAATGTAGCTATCTTGTTTGTACATTGTATCTTATTTGCAGTTTGTATCTTGTTTGCTCTGTGGGGCTGATAGAGACGGAATGCATCGTTCAACCAGTTGTCATGCGGCCGGTAGACTGGCGTCCCGACCGACCAATGTCGGTTTCCCTCCGTCGCGCAGTTCCCACGTGGAGCCGATCGTGGCCCTCACTCGCACGTGACGATCCCGTGGGCGCCACGTGACGGCGGGACGTCACGTGGCAGACGCCCAGTCAGTTACCTTGGACACGGCACGTGACGGGGCGTGGTGGTGGCCGTTGGTGCTGGGACGTTCACACGCAGACACTGACTGGGGGACCGACAGAGACGGCCGACCGGGTAGGGAAACGTTCGGCCACCACGGCAGAAGTGATAACAATGAATGTGGATGAAATGACCCAACTTTCCATGCCTTTACGATGCTTTAATGATTTTCTCTCAAAGAACCGTCCACAAAAGTGAGCATAATTCAACAGTGCTGAGTAATCGTGACCGAACTAACTCAAATATCCACAACAAAAGTCATCCGGGACATGTCTCAGTCTGGCATGGCGATACAACCCTGACCAACCAATGGCACGTTCCAGCCTGAGCTGTACTTCAAACGGAGCGCTCGCCGTCAGTTGCCGATTTACTCAGTCGTGCGTGCAGGTGCGACTGTTTTGCTGCACCGACGTGCATGCAAACACTGTAGTCGAGCGTGGGCCGAGCAGTCGCCGGCGCAGGGGAACGATCCAGTTGTCAGCGCCTATGAGAGTTCAGCAACGGTACGGCGGTAGACGTAGGCCACGTCAACGCACATCCATAAAATAGCTTGTAACTCTCCCGAAAGTATATAACCATGAAAGAAAAACAGGCCACCACGCGCGCCACGCGGCGGTGAAAAGGTCAGGGAGCTCGGAGTGGCGGCGGGCCTCCACTGGGCACCTCCTACCACACCTGCGTTTGTGCCTAGTCACCGCCGCCGCGTCTGGCCGGGTGGTGCCGCAGCCACTGCCGTCGCTCCGTGCCGATCGGCCCACGCACGTACTCTGCGACCCCCGAGCCGTCTCTTCAAAGCCTGTCGCGAGTTTATGCCGTTTCAATAGCACCAATATCTATCATATAGAAAGACTAAGTGTCTCAGTACCTTCTACTACGAGTCTTCCACCGATACCTATCCGACATTACACATGTGTATTGGTCCGATGATTCTCCAATCTCCAGTCTCGCAAGTGCGCCGCTCCGCTCATCAGTCTCATCAAGGTATGTCAGATCAAGGTTAGGGTCGACACAATACCATTAGCTTGTCGTCAAGTGCTGCCAGCGGTTCAGGCAGGAGAACAGGCGAATTAGACCCGAAGCGAAATATCTAATTTAACAAAATCCTTGAGCGAACAGCATGCTACAGTACCTATTCATCATCCATTTTACCAAATTACATGTTTGGTCTCAAGGCTCTTCCAACACAGGCACGGTTCATATAATTTGCGTCCTATTCTACCAGCTTTAGACATTACATAATGATCACGTCATGTCTAGTGTAATCTGTTTATACCGAGGAACACAAGCGTTTGGTCCCTTACCGAACATTCGACTTCCACGTGCTGTATTCGCCGGAGGCGAGACTCACGAGCCGGCGTGGCGTGGCGGTCACTGTCCGGGCAGCGCCAGCCAAGGCCGCCATTCTCCCTCACTCCTCCTTCAAACCGACGGCTGCCTACCACAGCCAACAACGTCATCAGTTGTAGACTCCCGTACGGATTGGTCACCAGAGTGAACCAACGTGATCGCTTCACGGGCCACGAAAGGCGCGTGTTGTGTGCCTGGCTTCGGTAAACGGGCTTGAACAACGCAAGCAATACCGGCACCACTGCGCCGCACTTCTTAGCCACAATCAAGGCCAATGCACAAAGGCAGCTCCCGTAAAGCGGCCGACGGCATGCGCCGAGTGCCCATTGTCGCCTGCTAAACTTTTCACAGGCGAACATGAAACTGCATACCACAGCAAATAGCACCTTAGGTTAGCTGAGCAGCCAGAAATCATGGCAATCTTGTCGGTACCAGGAAGCCAATTTGCAGGTTAAAAGTGACACAATCGTAAACAATTTATGTCAAGTCTGCCAGCTTGCACAATCCAGTTTCAGTTTAGCAGCTGGCTCGGCGTCTGTCACCACATTGCGCCATGACCGCTTCATCCAGTCACTGCGGCCGTGCGCCACGGGGCAGCTGCCGAGCGGATGTTCATAATCGAGCATCAGCCGACCTGGATACGGGTCGCGATCTGACAGGATTTCCGCCGCCCAGCATACGCTGAAGCTTATCGACAATAGGATTTCAACAGCCGACCTGTCACTAAAGCAGGGCATACGAGTGAAAATGCCGGTAATGCAGTACCAATGATGCAAAAAGCACAATGAATTTTAAAAGTACATAACAGGAAGAAAAATAGGCGACACAACAGGAAAACTATTATTTTCACTCAAAACTTCCGTGTTATGCTCGATATTAACCAAAAATATGCCTACCAAGAATGACTAGCAGGTAGGTACGTAGCGACCACTGGATAGTTTCCAGCCTCGTTCAAAACACGCAGACACCGGTGCCTAGCCCTACGCCGTCGTGTTCGTCCTGCCCTCATGTTAGTAATTGTGGTCACTGACCAACTGGAGTCCGTCAGCTGTCTATGAACGTCGGCTACTCGACAGAATTATTCACAAGTGAACGGCACGGCTGCCGAACCACTCTCTCGTGTAGCATGTGCAAGCAAAAAGCGGCCACCTGATTCTTCGTGAGGAATTAGGCTCGCAGTGGCATGGCCGTAATGTCCCTTTCGATACATCGTGCTTCGAGCGTAGGCATTCCTAAAAGGGTGACGATTCTTGAACTACATTAGAGTTAGGACGCCTGATGTGGACGTCATTTCACAGCGATCAGTCAGTCACATTAGGAAGGTTCTATGTCAGGTTCTCCAAGGCAGCGGTCCCTGCCACCACACGCCGATCACCACCGCGGCCAACAGCCCGCGAGACCACAGCCGGCCGACAGTGTTCGATTCATCGGAACCGGACAATACACGCCGTGACAAGGCCGATGGCATTTGGACTCGCGTCTGTCCGCGAGCAGCGCTGGGAAACAATGTCCGCGTGGCCAAGAAACAAAGGCATGTCTTCCGGGTAGCCGGCGGCTGAACGTTATGGCAGGCGCCGGCGTGAACAAGGTGGACAGTACAATAACGCTATTGCTCGATAAATCGGTCACCGCCGATAGAAGTAGTTCCTCAGACCTCAGTCCTCACTAAATAGCATATCCATCGGTGTGAACTGGTGAGAACGACCCATGTTATTGGACCAAAAAATTCGAGTGATCGTCAGGCCACACTCAAGACCCTATGGCCGCATCAAACATTCATTTATAATAGACAGCTTGCCGAGGCCAGTCACTTCACCACACACTAACGTCTACTGAAGTGGCATCAACACCGGCAGTGTCGCCTGGCTGGATTTGAGCTAAAACGAATAGACAAATCGAGCGAGAGACCCCTGTACCAGCGCACACTGACTAAGCGATGAACCCCTGCAGCAGCTTGTAGCTCGTGATACCACGATTGATGCACTGTCGTCCGTTGCCCTTAGTCTGCAGCACTGGCTGCAGGCCACACACCCCACCCGGTGACCGATGGGCCTTTCCAGAGTATCCGCCGTGCTGCCGGTACTCCCCCGCTGTCTGGGGGATTAGGTGCGGGCAGCACAGGACAGCCGAACTCCGGCAGGGGTCTGCTGCACGTCAGAGGCTGCGCCGCACCACAGTGGAGGAATGAGGGCCGAGCTACCACCACCGGTGGAAAGTACGGCCGGCAGATGACGACGTACTGTCGCACCGATGACCGCTAATCATGACGCGCTCATTGGGCCGTCATTGTTGAGGGTTGGTATATTCATGGCCTCCCCACTCAACAACAAGCCTAGTGCACATCCAGCATATCATATGATAATATGATCTGCAAATGTCATCTTGTCCGACCGAGTGTTCTGGTGCCCCGAGCTGGACAGTCCGCACCATCTCACCCACAGCCACGAGGCAGCCACAACATAGGAAAATCCGCTGCTGAAGGCTAAGGCAAACACAGCGTAAATGAGCAGCATGTGCATTATAAACGCAGGTATAAGTGACCTATCGG